AGATTGAAATGCACTTGGGAAAATAACAATTATTTGAAAGAAAATTTTGAAATTTTTCATAAACAATTCTCTACAGCCACCGCGAAATTACTTCATGGATTTGAAAGGTTTAAAACTAAAATAGACATAATACGTTTAAATTATTTAGCCAAACATGCTTGAATGAAAAGATACTGCCTATATATATATATATAGAAGTAATAGAATTTTGTAGATTTAGGCAAATCATTATAATTCATCGAGTCTAGAAAAATCCTCAACAGAATGCAGAAAGCACTGAGCGGGGTGAAGAATACTAGGGATGAGTATCACCACAGAATTTCTATATTGAGTCTATTCAGTTTCTTCTTCGTCACCGAGGTCCGTTGGCATAACGCTTGCTTTGTATCGAAACGCTACAGGTTCGAATCTCGGTAATGGATGCGCACTGATGACGAGTCCCAAGAAAAGAACGAAAGAGCCGCCCAGTGCTTTCGGTATTCTGTTGAGGATTCTTTTAGACTCGATGAATTACTGTAATGATTATATATATATATATATATATATATATATATATATATATATATATATATATGAATAAATATAGTTCTAAGGTGTGCTATATTTATGGGATAAAGTGCTCAATATCAGAGATAGAGCGTATGTTAATATAAATATAAAAGTGAACATTGAAGTCAACATTCAGAGACGAAAGGCTGTTTTATGCTAGACGAAATCGTCAGGCCGCGAGTGTTGGATTTTTTCTCGATTATATGGGTCAGTGGTACAGAGGAGGTAACCCATTCTGGCATTTATTTTGGTGGGAGTGGCTTGTTTATTTATTTATTTCGGTTAATTCATTTTTTATATATTTATTTATTCATTTCGGTTTTCGATGGGTGGATTTGTTTCGGTTGCTTATTTAATACTTTGTATTGCTCTGGGAAAATAAAGCTATTTATTGATCCATTTTTTGGATTGATTGTCGTAGTCTATTCTGCTAATTTGTCGGGGGACAATTTTAAATGTGTTTATAATTTTATTTATTTATTTATTTGGATGGATTTTTTTTTGCGTTTTTATGTTTATTTTTATTAGTTCTAACGGTTATTTTAGCAGGCGCGATTTGTTAATTTGTTAAATTTCTTGGATGAATTTTTACTTATTTCTTCTTATTTATTTGCTTATTTTTTATTTTTCATTTCACGTTAATAAAACATCTAAAACCGAAAAGAATAAATAAATATATGAAAAATGAAAATAAAAAACAAGTAAAATAAATTAACCCAAATAAATAAATAAACAAGACACTCCCGACAAATTAACCGCCAGAATCAATCACCCACAATGCATCACTGGCCCATATATGCAAATAGTCGAGAACAAATCCAACACTCGCGGCCTGAGGATTGTGTCTAGCATGAAACAGTCTGTTCCTTCATATTTGCATATATATATATATATATATATATATATATATATATATATATATATATATATAGTCGACTCTCCCGTCGGGTTCGACGCATGAGGGCCAAGCAGATCAGTTCCCAGGAAACCGACAGCCCGACAACAGCACATATATATTTGCGTATATATATATGATTATAGTGTTGAAGGTTTCGTGCAAGACCATCCACACTTCTTGAAGGGCCGAATTCAGAGACCTGGTGCGCTAAGTGCCACAAGGTTCCCAAACGAACGTCCGCAGGTTTTGAATTCAGAGTTGTCCTTCTCCTAGACCAGTTGCCATCCAAGGCTATAGAACCCAGTCTGTCCTGCTATTTACCCATAGCTGGAGGGAGAAGAAGTGGATTCACAAGGGTATTAGCACGTAAATGAATGTAATTGATTCGACTGGAATTCGAACTTTGCGATTCCTCAATCCAAGCCGCCAGGCGTTACTCCACCGTGCCTCATATATATATATATATATATATATATATATATATGTGTGTGTGTGTGTGTGTAAAAGTGAACATAGAAGTCAACACTTAGAGGCGACATCTCTGATACACGCTCTATCTCTGATATCGAGCACTTTATCCCATAAATATAGCACACCTTAAGACTATATTTCTTCATATATATATATATATATATATATATATATATATATATATATATATATATATATATCATTGATTATGGCCGAAAAGGAAGGTTGAATTAAGTTTTTCTAGCATGCTAACATTTAGAGTTCAAGAATATAATAATTTTCCATAATTTAAAATAAAGAGTGTTTTGTCTCTATTGCTGGTATTTTTTCTTCATGTTTTGACTGTGACGCTGTAAATTCTTCTTGTCTTGTTTTTTTTAAATACGAGAGTTCATTCCAATCTGTCATATGCTGAGCGTGATGGCATTCGCAAGAGCATCTTTCTATTTTTTATTTTTTTTTAAATTTCAAAACTCCATCTTCATTATTAAATAATATAAGGTTAATCGTAGGAGAAAATTGTTTGATATGTAGGGACTCTTGAATAGTGTGATGTTTCTGATAATGAGATTTATATAGAATTCATTTGTTTCCGTCTAAAATTTTACTTAAGGCTTCTTGTAGATTATGGATTAATAATTTTTTTATGGCACTATGGTCAGATAAATGACACGTAAGGCGTCAACTCAAATTAATTCAATCTTCTTTGTCCGCCATATTCAATGAAAGATCTTTGAAAGACAGGCTGCTGCCAAAACATACATTATACATATATATATATATATATATATATATATATATATATATATATAATCATTATGTCAATGGTATTGTTAACTGTTCCCTTATAAAAAGTAATTTGGTATTTGTGGACTGATCAGCCAGTGATACTGTCGGTTGAAACTTCTATTCAGTTTTTCATGAAAATAGTTTTCTCAAGTCCAGTAGCTGTTATTGCTCTTTGCAGAAATCGTAGGCCCTTCCTTCCTAACCTTTTGTTCAGAGTAGTGTAGAACATCAGCATCTTGATTATGTCATTATTTTGACTTCGAGTTACATGTGATATCCATTTTAGTTGTGGCTGCCGTTAAAAATCCTACAGTGATGTTGTTTCTGTTATTTGGAACAGATCTTTGTCTATGATTTAGTAGCATCAGTTCATAAGATTTAAGGAAGGCCTACATGATTTATTCCCTCAAAACCAATTTTAATGATTGATTTGAGAAAATGGCTGCCTACAGCTGACAAGTGAGATATTTTCTAAACATGTTCGCCGCTATACATGACATTTACGTGAAACTATCAATTTGATGAGGCTATTGAAGAACATGACCTGATTATTTTTATATATATATATATATATATATATATATATATATATATTTATAATTATAATTTAAGCTCTACTTCTGTATAGAGCACTGCTTTTAAAAATAAAAAAAAATACTAAAGAACTCCGAATCATTTACCTAACGTGTTCTTTACTATTTTTCACACACACACACACACACACACACACACACACACACACACACACACACACACACACACACACACACACACACACATATATATATATATATATATTTTTTTTTAATTTATAACATAAACATGTTATAAAATCACTACAAAAATAGCCATTTTCTTTCAACACCCTCGGTGTCTTATCAAGTGATGATGTTAAAGATAAAATAAATGGTTTTAAAAGTTTCAAATTAATTAACGATCCTTCACTTGGGGAAAACATTGTTACAAAAGCTAGAATAACCAATGATTCAAAAGCTTGACAACGAAATCATGTTATAATAGCTATTCAGATCTTTAAAATACGGGTAATATTAAAAAGAATTTATACTAACCAATAATTATAAAATTTTGTGATAAAATTTGATATTAAAATTAAAAATTGCCAATTTTAAAATCCAAATTTAATCACTATTAAGATTAAAAACTATAAAATTATTGAGAAAAGAAAAAATACATATGTTATTCAATTTATTTCTTCGTTGAAATTACGTTCGACAAGACGCTACAATATCCGGTCATTTGACAATACTTGTATATATATATTTTTTAATCCAAAGTGTGAATGTGGTCTTAAACTCACGCGCAAAACAACAAAAACACAATCAGATTATAATACATAAGCACCCAGACATATTTATATATATATACACGCAAAAAGCGACGAGACAGGAACATCTCCACAGCCCTTTATGAAGAAAGGAAATTGTTGGTTATTGGCATTCATTCTGTATATACCAATTATATACTTGTATATATATATATATATATATATATATATATATATATATATATATATATATATAAATTCTGTATCTGAGCAGCCAGTGGTGTTGTCAGTTAAAATTTATAAAATCTTTCTCTTCATTTTTTTCAGGAAAAGTTTTCTCACGTACAGTAACTGTTATCGTTCTTTCCTTCCTCACCTTTTGTTTAAAGTAGTGTGGAACATCAACATCTTGATTAAGTCATTATTTGCACTTCGAGTTGCATGTAATATCCATTTTCTTAGTAATGTTCACCCAATACAAAACCTCAAGAGCCACAGACCTTGTATGAGCTCAAGAAGATGAGGTGAGAAGTTTAAAGGTGAAGAGGTTATGTAGGAATGACAGATTTGAAGAGGTTATGATCGTAATGATCGGGGAAGCATCCTGATGGGAATGTTTTTATTTTTCACAAAGTACCAGTTCTTTCGAAGAAGATGTCCAAGTGAAACTTCCTCCTTACTAATGGAATACGAATTAAACAAGGGTAATACATCCCCGTGTACACTTGTTGCAGAGGCGGAAATGGGTAACCTGGAAGACACGAAGTTGTTATTGTTGTTGTTACCATTGTGGGGGTTAATTGTTTCTCCACCTCGGCAAACGTAAATCCGAGTAAAAAGAAGACACTGAGTATGGGTAAATAAATGCATAATTTATTCACATATATGTAATATAACTAATAACTTTTACCTGTTGTTGTTGTTGCTAATGCAATGGGTGGGGAGAATGGTGAAATTAGAAGTGAAATAGTCATCGTTGGTGGCTGACGTCCTTGTTTCTCTCCCCAGCGCGTCGGTGTTGACATGAATACTGGTTTCTCTCTCTCTCTCTCTCTCTCTCTCTCTCTCTCTTTCTTTCTCTCTCTCCGTCTCTCTATCTCTCTCTCTCTGTTACTCTCTCTCTCTGTCCCTCTCTCAGCTTGCCGGTGCTGACGTCCAATTTGGTCTGTTTTGTGTTTGTTTGAATTAAGGAACATATAGCCATCATTCGGCTCCAAATTAAGATTTACGTGTGTGAAGCGGGAATGGTTCTGACTGGTCAATAAATTGTTCGTTTTATTTTGGTTAAAGCGGATGTATGCGTGGAGCCTATGCGCAGAAAACGTATTTACGAGGTCTGCTTTAGGTCGCTGAACAGTCAACATCCGGTGTAAGAGACATGATAAGCTTATCCTGAATATAGCAATAGAGTAACGAGATGATTGCGACGTTTCGTCTGTGGGAAAGGGGTTGTAGATGGAAAATAATTAATCACCCACAAGTCCGCGTAAATGTTTTTGAACTCTATCGCGACAGGCAATGGAGGACTGGGCATCTACACCTCAGATATGGGGGCAATATTTATTTTTGTTCTGGCTCTTGTAAATATAGAGTATGGCAGGAGGAGCGGATCAAGTATGACTTACTGGAGCGGATCAAGTATGACTTCCAGAATCTGAAGCGTGGATATGAGTTCTATTTGAGGTCTGGTGTAAGCTTGAGTCTCAATAGGTGTTCAATCAAGGAGCCTCTATGAGAGAACACCCACTCATCATGAAAGGTGAAAGTTCGAAGTCTACTCGATGATGGTGGAACGTTAATCCATATGACCGCCTTTCTTGGGGTGAAATAATAACAAAAAGTAAGACTGTTTATAATGAGAAGATACACCCACAAAAATCACATCTTTATATACGAAAAATTATCTGTCTATATGTTGAAACTTGACTAATGCATGGAATAATAATACAACACAAAATGTACTTAGAACAAAATGTATTGAAACAAGAAAGTGTACACAATATTTACATATAGTCTTTTGTATATTCCTGGAAAAACCGTTCCTGGAGAATGTGTTGACTTAGTCGCAGTCGGGCAGAGTCTCTGGATTGAATTTCTTGATTCCTCCTTACTCTCTTCCCGGTACCAACCATATTTATATGGTCGGTACTCCACTATGCAAATTAGGTGGATCCTACCAAAACACTATATTTCTGAGATGAAACATTATGTACACTATTTACATTGCTCGGACTATCACCCTCATCTTTGTTGTCATATTGTTCATAAATATGGCAACAAAGATGAGGATGATAGTCCGAGCAATGTAAATAGTGTACGAGGAATTATATTGTAAAAATTTAATTAAAGTTTGGCTTTAAATTTTACAATAAAAAAAAAACTTCTGGAAATTTAGATTGCAGACACTTCCCGTTGGTGTAAAATATGCTGAACCTGCGGATCTACTTTTGCTTTATGATGTAATGGAATAACCCGGCACCCCCATGAATGATTACACTATAGGTAGTAAGTACCTATAAAGTCAACTACAAGAGACTCGAAGAAGAGTGTGAGAGAGACGGCGCCAGCACGCCCGACCTTCCGATTAGTGGCACTCACTACTAGATTTACCTGTGTGTATAACTGTACCGTATTTCATATTGTACTGATTGTGTACAATAAACCTTTCTTCTATTATCCACCTGGTACTAACTATTTATTCCCTTAGCACAGAATATAATACTTTAGTAGTGTTAGGTTTGTATTCTCTATTTGATTTTGTTGCGGACATAAATATATTGTGGTTTTATTATTTATATCGACCAGCATGTTTTTTATATGTTACCCTATTTAACGATTCTAGCTTAATGAATATAAGTAATTTGTATAATCAATTCTTAAAAAATAATTTCTGCTCTCATTCCTTCTCAATCTTGTATTTTGGCGCGGTTATAAAGAGGCTACTCTTTTGCTGGTTGACATTTACATTAAATTCTTTATTATTAGTTAATCAAATAAAGCGACAAATTATTATTTATCCAAATTAAGCGACGTTCTATGCTGAAATTGGTAACCACTGTAGCATTTAGATCAAAGCTTGGGATTAAAAGTAAACAATGTATAAAGAAAATTAATTGATGCTGATATATTTAATAGTGTATTTTGGAAATCTACAAAATTATTATAAGTATAATACAATTCCATATATGAAAAAATATGACTACCAAAATATTTAATTTCATAGAACTGTTTTAATCAAGACAAATTTGTTAATGGCATTTAATGGTATGCTCAAATCTCCCAAACAATGGAACACATCGGTAAAGAAGCGGAGAAAAAAAAAGGATCTGATGTGAGCAACATCGGGTAGCATTGCCTGTTAAATATAAGATTTTTTTTAAAAAAAAGATAGACATGCCCTTATCCTTTTTCCTGCTTTCACTGCTTTTAACTTTTAGTTTACTGAAGGAGATTAAAAAAGAAAATCAAGAAAAACCTTCCTATTCGTATTTTTTTATTATCATTTTTGGAAACTGCTTCTTTCCTGCTTCGAACCGTTTTATTTATTTTTTTTATTTTATTTCTATTTTTTTCTTCCTGAACTTTGACTCTCCATCCTTTTGATTCGAAGATTCCAAGACTTGTTGACACCAAACAATAAGAAAACTGTCTCTGTCTATCTTTCTTTTAAGGAGGCCGCTGTTGAGAAGCCAGCACTAATATAAAACTGGAACGGTCAATATAAAACAAAAATGGCAAGAAATCAATTCGCCTAATATAAACAGTGGTGTCTTCTTTTTTTCAAAATGTTTTATTTTTATTTATTTACACGATTCTATACAAATATTTTATATTCTTTTTCCTGTAGCTATTGTTACTTTCCAGCATTTTCAATTGAATAGGTCCTTGGTGGATATATTTTTATATACTGGGAAACTGAATAGGACATAAACTAATGCATATAAACTCCAAATCTCTTATTACCATAAATGTTATTTTAGTGGCTACACGTACTTTAGTAAACAAATCTTTTTTTTTTTTCAACAGTTAGATTAATGCCTATTTGCCTATAGATCGAGAAATGCTACTACTAGAGAAAATGTACTTTCCGGTAGAAATTGAAGCTATTCCCCTTTTCATTTAAGATAACCATATTTAAGGTCAGTGTACCTTATTAATTGGGTCACACGAAGGCATTGCATCAAGATACGCACTAAATCAGTGTTTCCCAACGTGGGCCCTAGTGTCACCTTTTTTTCTTCATTTGTGGAGATGAACATACCCAGTGGGAATTTATCCATTTTTTTTTTTAATTTTCAAAAATTATTCAATATTGGCTAAAAAAAGATGGATATTCTGGAAGGTATCTAAAACTGTGGGAAGCTATCAAACGTTTCGTCATTGTTTTTCTAGATTCCTTTATGACTGACTGTGGTTTCAATGAAGTTACACAATTTCTTACTAAACAAAGAAACCATCTGAAAATTAAAATAGTAGAGATCTGCGATTAATTCTAAGCAGCATGGAACCTATACCCTTGAAACAAAACGAATAATTCCGTTATTATTTACTTTTTTTTCAAATTTTTCCTTGCAGACTGACCACAGATTCTCGATTAGATTTAAATCAGGTGAGTTTCCGGGCCAGTCGATAGTACTTTGATTTTCTCATTGGTAAGGCTTGCTAGTGTCTTCGTGCAGTGTTACAATTTCCGTATGCTTTCTTGGAATAACATCCATCGCAGACAATGGCCGTAGGACAACTAATCGACAATCGAAACAATAGTGCCTGAGCGAGACAAAAATATAACGGAATCACCGATGACACAATATTTTTCAAGGCCAAACAAATTTAATCATACATCCTGAAAATAGATTCATATTACTGCACACCACTGCAAATGACCTGATCTGAGGAAAAAATAGAAATCGATTACACCCTGTCACTCCAGTGTATCTGAAACTGACCGAATGGTGAAACAAAGGAAACTAAAGCGGTTCTTTCAATTAATTTGCACAAGGATGTAGAGTAAGAGCCTTAGCCAGTAAGCACTAAAGTCAAAGAATGCATTGAAAACATTGATATCGAATAAAGATTATTTTTAGCATTTTAATCATTGGCATTTATAATAGGAATGGAATTTAATTTGACAGTAGGTACGTTGACAAAAAAAAATTTCCGCGCAAATGGGGTGCTAGTTTAAAAAAGTTTGAGAAACACTGCACTAAATGTAACGCTGATGGTAATGAGAAATATTTTTTAATTTAAAAAGAAAAACGTTAATTGCACAAAAAATATGTATATTTTTATAGTGCATAGATAACTTAATCTGATCCTTTAGACATTTAAACTAAGTATGCTTTACAATTAGGACACTGGAAGCCATTGTAGTAAAATATCCACTAACTGTAACATTGATAGTACTAACAAATAATTTTAAAGTTAAAAAGTGTGTTAGTTGCAAAAAAGGAAATAGATATTTTTAGACAGCTTGGATAAGTTAAGCTGCTTATTTAAAGTTTAGTTTATTTTTTAGCGGCATATCAACTCCTTATGTGTCATTTAATGCCGGAATTTCATTTTCTTGTGAGTTTTTGTATTTTTTCACTATTTGCCCATATCTGGGGCCCTAACAGGTGCTTCCAAGCTGGGTCAGGGTGGACCTGGGATCAACAGCACTTCCACGCTACACAAAACCTCCTGGTCAGAGGCCTTGCTGCCAAATGTAGTTTTTTTTTTTTTTTTTTTACCATACTAAACATTTAAACTAAGTATTTAAACTAAGTATGCTTTACCATTAAGACACAGCATTTTTTCAAACGATATTTAAAACTAAATGCTCAAAAATTGGTAAAGAATATGAATCTAGTTTTTGGTTTCAAAGTTCATCAGATTAAACTCCATCTTTTACACTGAGTTCAAGGCTGATTTTCTAAACAAAATAATGTGAAAACTCAACTTTCCCTACTGTACATAAGGAGAGAGCGGCTCTTTTTTGGCAAAGATATTTTTCAAGAATAACAACAGTCCAACATATAAATTGAAATAAACTATTTTCTTGGATTGGAAGTATCAGAAGTTCAAAAATAATACTACCTATACTAAAAAAAAAAAATGAGTATTTACAACTTAGAAAGAGTTTATTAAAATTATCAAAACATGTTATCTACAAC